TGAAAAATTCTCCAAAAGTTCCCCCTGCTCATTGTAAGGGTCCTCACAAGTAGTCAAGATCCAGTGAGTTAATTGTTTGTACTCTTTATCTACTTTTAGATTTATATTTAATTAGTTTTTAACAATGAGAAAGCTCTTTTCTTGACAACAAATGGAAAACTGACCGACACAAAAAATTGTCAAATTTGGAGAATTTTCCAAATTTCCCTTTTTTTGTGAGAATGCTTACAAGTGGTAAAAACTCTTTTTTCAATCTTTTGGAGTGGTTGTCAAGAGCTATATGCCTCAACCCTTGCAAAGAGGACTGGAATTCAATACAAAACGTTGAAGATCTACAACAGTGTCGACGAAACTCTCCTTCTGGAAAGGGAACCTTCTTGGACAAGTTAGTTGAACTGTATTCATGGTGTGAGGCCCGGAAAACAGAACCCCCAAAAAGAAAGACGTAAAAATTTCTTAAGTCAATTGTCAAGAAAACAATTACAGTAGAGCGTCGATTATCCGAAAGTCGACGCAACTATGCGGCTACAACCGCGACTATGTATTCTTAACTACCTGCAAAGCATATGCGAAGCAGATTAATTCAAAGAGGAGTACCTCAAGCCAGTAGCATTTAATGCTACAGGTCAAAGGGAGTACTCCACTAAATGTAAAAATGTAATGTATCCGAAAGAATTCCAGTCGGCAAATTTAAATTTTCGCTAGTGCTGTGGCGCTGCAATCTATGGCTATAACTTGGGCTACTCAAATATTTTACGTTTTTGATACTAAATTAACTTCTGAAGTATAATTTTTTTATTGTTTTATATTTTTCGATATATTTATTTTGTTTGTACAAAATAAAAAAAATAATTTTTAACGATACAATAGTCTTCGTTAGGCTTAACATCGACAAAAATTCAATGTAAAGCGACACGCAACGGAGAAAAATTTCAACATGGGATAGGTTAATATAAGATGCCTTCCGTGCCCTTATCCAAAGGGCGTTTCTCTATTGCAGTAATGTGTTGGATAGGCAAAAAGAAATTAATAGAATATTGCATATTGCCAGATCTCTAGGGTACAAAGTAGGTTAATATATTTTTCGTACATAATCGGTTATCCGAAATATCAGTTATTCGAACCACCCCAGTCCCCAATTGATTCGGATAATCGACGCTCTACTGTATATAAAGGTCGAATCGGCGACACCGGACTTTGACGTCGACGCTCATAAAGAGTAAAAGGAAAAACAAAATTTTAGATATAAAAGAAGAAAATTTAAAATTTCAAAAGTTAAGATGCAGTTTAGAAAATAAAACGAAACTACTAGAAAAAATATCAAAATAAGCATAGGTGTAGTCAACAATTAAACACGATCAGAGTCTAAAAGATGGTGTCGGATAAACCATCTTCAGCCGACCTTTCCCGCGAACTATACAAAGCTCCATTTACACCTGGAGACAGGTGGAAAACAAACTAGAAAACGAAGATGTAAGGTTTGTCCAATTAGCAACAAACCAATCTCAAAAAACTTAAAAACACCAATTCCAAGGACAAAGGAGCTTCTACTAAGACTTTCGCCAGACACCTGTTGTGTTCGTCGTCCTCTTCCCTTGGTGCTTCTGATCGCCACTATCTTTGTGACTGTTCGCCATCGCCCCGGAGCTCCTCTCCAGCTTCACGGAAAGAAAAACATCAGTCATCCAATCATTAAGACCAGATCGCTGCCAAAACCCCTACGTCGCTGGACCAGATCGCCGCCGAAAACCCCTACGATGCTGGACCAGATCGCCGCCAAAATCCCCTAAGACGCTGGACCAGATCGGATCCGAAGACATCTTAAGGTTCGGAATCTAAGGACCTTTCCAACGAAAAAATATGTAAGCAATTTCATCCAAATAAATGGTTTCTCTGTGAAACACGTCTTTTGCTGCTTCTCAAAACCACCACCCACATACGCTTAGACCATCCTGACGGTAGGGAATAAAGTACTCCCCCAATTGGCGTTCTTACAATGGCGTTGAGTTTAGACTCCTAACTGGCTCCTTTCTGTTTGCATCTTTTTATTAGATTAATTTTCTTTGTTGAGAGGCAATCTATTCTGATTTACTTGTTGAAATGATTGTACAATAGATGTAATTACTTTATATTTGTTTTTGTTCAATAAGAGCAAGACAAATACTCCGGGTGCTACCTTCTCTTACCTTCCAACTTTTTTTTACTCTCTTCTTTTCTTTCTTTTCACTCTCCTTCTCCACCTTTTCTCATTTCCCCTTCTCTCTCCTACTCTCTCTCAGGGTTAAGTCTGTTATAAACAGACAGCTCTCTATGATCTTAAACAAACTAAACTAAACCGAAACACCTCCACTATGGAATTCTACAGTATACACCTCCAGGCTCAAATCACTTCTCCGGACTGACAGCTAGACCTGAACACAATTCCCTCTGAGTATATTGTCCCTTGTATTGAGCAGCACGTATGCAGGCACCGGTTTTGTTTGAGCTTTGCACCGGCACAAACAATTTAAAAGGTATTTCTTCCATTTCGACAAGACTCCATAACTGATGTTTGCAAGAGAAAGACAGTTATTTGCTATTTGTATTTATGCCTGACGACATTCGACTATGGTGACACACAAATGGAACGGGCTGAACAGCCAGAGCAGCTTTGCCCATCTGTCTGAGCTGGTGGCACCAACACTCATGCTTATTGTTTTAGTCAGTAAAATGACCATAATACAATATAAATCACCCAACTACACCTTACATTGCTGAGAAAATTTATTTAAACATAAGTAATGTTTTTGGTCTTACATACATATTTATATATATACATACACAATGTATAAATATAAAATAAAATAAAAATGAGAAATATTATTATATATCATGTAATAATATCATATATAAAATAACAAATGTAAAAAAACCAAGGCATATGTTAAGAGCTTTAAAAAACAATTTTTTAACTAAGTAATTCCATACAGATGATAGTCTTTCTGTGTCCCTTGCATTAATGCACGTATCTTGTAGCTTGCTCTTATAAATTTCAATCTTTTCTGCACTCATCACTAAAGTTGGGGCATGCAAGGATTTAACAATATCTGCTCCTTCCCATTTTACTATGAAGCCTTCAGCCTGTGCCACCTGAGATAATACTGTAGCATATCTTCAATTATTTTTCTATTTGAATTTATATATTCTATTTTTAGGACACTGTTATTATTTTTTCTCATTTAACCTGAGGATGGCCTATAAAATAGGCCAGAAACGTTACTTACATTTAAAATCTTCTAGACAATTTAAGGTATAGTTGGGTGATCTATTATCTGCCAAGTGTGTGTCGTCAGTTTATAATATAATATAATATAACAGTAAGCCGAAACAGTTAGGCTATATTACAATACACATCACTATACTATAATATAATAGTAACTATAGTAAAGCATGTTTTGGGATATATGTGAAACACAGTTACTATAATCGTTTCAGGTATATTCTGGCATTATACATAGGTATTATTATATTGTATTATAGTCACATTTATTGTAATATAGTTTCAGTACTTTTTTCGTAATATTTTAGCTTTGAATAATGTGCTACCGTATCTTCACAGATAGTGCTCGATGTCACATCATTTGTATTATATTACACCAGTGTATTTACAGGAAATCCTCATTAATTGGAACTCAAATATTTCGAAATACGGCTACTTTGAAATTCAAAATGAAAATTCCATCCGAACTGTCGTATGCATATGTCAACTTATTCGTTTTAGATCAAAGTGCCTCCATATTGTGAAAGAACAATAGACTGAGAATGACTCTAATCTGGTCAATACGGCTTTGCTTTTATTTAAATAGTAAACCATTTTTGGGTGTTATCTTATGGACTAACCTTCTTTTCTTCTTGTAAAGTACAGCTGGTTTTCGAAATAGCAAGATTGGGCTACGAGTAGCAGACAGATATTTCCAGACTCTAGGCTACTACATTTGAGCAATTTACTACATTTTCAGCAACTTTATAAATAATTTGGGCTACATTTAGAGGAACTGCACTTTACTTTTCATAAAATCTGTCTGAAAACCCACGTTGTTTACCAAAATTTATTTATATTAATTATTAATGAACAAAAATAGCATTCTGTATATGTAGCCATATTCTGTTTGCTTAATAAATTACATCCATTACATGGCATTCGGCACATCATAACAACATACATAAATCTCGGATATTTCAAAGTGGCATTATTTCATTCCTCAAATTCTGAACTGATGAGGACTTCCCTTAGTAGTACAATATACTTTTGTCTTATTTTTTATACAATTTTAAATTTTATTTACTTATTTTAGTTTATTTTTGTTGTCTTTTGTAATTGTCAATGTATCGGCCACGTCAATCACCGTAACTTAAATTCCTGGGTGTACTGTTTTCGACCTTGCCAGTGAAGTTTAATTATTATAATTATTTGTGAGCACACAGAGATGCCGCAGCCGAGTTTAACCGGAGAAAAGGTCAGTATTATTTGATCGCAACCAAAATCAGCAGGTACAGCAAACAACACGAGTCCGTTCTTTTCTAAATGAGGGACATAGTGGCATCTTTTAATGCCGCCATCACTAAATTCCCAGTCAGAGGTAAAAGGCACATTAACCGAGCACAACTTAAATCGGATGTCCCCGCCACTTTTATCACTTTCGATGTGCTTAACTAAAAGTCACTCGGTATTGGAGTCCCTTCCCCGCGTCACGATCGAAGCCAAATCCTTTCATCAGTCCCCTACTTTTGGGTATGGTCTTTCTAGAACCAGTCAACATTTCTCAGCTGTTTTCCATTTTAAAAAAGCCAAAGGTGGCACCTTTATGTAACTGCAAAGGGATGGAGTCAGGCTCGCCCCCCAGCTTTTCTTTTAGCTGAGCCATCTCCATTTTGGCCCTAGTGCCCGATAATATACCGAAATGATGGGTAAATATGAGCTGTGCCATTTGCCAAGGTAAGGTGGAGTGAAGGAGATGGAGAACTGGTCTAATTTCTTTATTAAATTATATCAAAAATCCAAAATAAATGGAATCTTTTTCTATCTCAGAATTATAGGTCTAAGCGTGCCGAGTGGAACAGAAGGTAAGAAAAACAAAAAACATTTTTCTGAAGTCGGATAAAAATTACATTTGATTTTTTCGGTCTTTTATACAGCAAACGTCGTATCCGATTCTTAAAATTATAAACAACTTTATCAAATTTATTTACATTTCTTTACGGAATCGTCACACGGACAAACGCAGGAGAAATTGCAACCGGTTGGGTCCGTCGGTAGGTAAAACTTCACTTCCTGCAAAATAAATATTTTTTCTTCCCGTCTGCTGGTGCACACTTTCCACCGGTCCCGGACCCCAGACAAAAGTTCCTCCACCACGTAAAGTGCATTTTGATTATTACAGGGCGGGAACTGTTGTCCACCGGGTGATATGCCGGTCGGACCTTAAATTGTTCCCGGCAGGTAAATCGGTTGGCCCGCTCCAGTGCCCCCGGACGTTTCCAAAGGAAAAAGTAAGGAAGCCGACGGATGGCACACTCCTTCCTCGGATGACACCTCAAAACACATACAAAAAAAACTAACTTGTATCTGGAAAAGTTCTGTACAAATCCACTATTTTATGTACAGCGTCAGCCCGACAGTAGCCAGAAAAAGATACTGCCAAATAATAAGCGGGCCCAGAACCGGGCAGCCCTGATATTTGATCTTTAAATGTAATACCGAGTGGGAAAATAACACAGGCCATCGCCAGCAGAAAATAAGAACACAGTATGAAGTAACTGGGGTGCCATTCGGCAAAAACTAGAAAATTTGCACCCGGGTGAAAAATCGTCCCAGCCAAAATGAGATTCTTCTGTCCCCCCAGGGCTTTTGCACTAACCTCCGTACTTAAACACCAGGATTTTACTTCCCAAATTCCACTGCCTCTGCAGTAGAACCTGATGACTTCGACCACAGGTAAAATCCACCCGGGCAAAGTTAAACGCCTCCGAAACTGGAAGACGGACCAGGAATGTTTCTTACCGTGGCATCAGCAGAGAATGGTTTCAGAAGCAGCAATGTTAGCGCCTGCCGAATTTTTAAATCTTAGCCTGGATGGCAGTGCGACCTCCCGTATTGATTCACAGAAGAAAGCATTCAGGAGAAAATCCAGGAGGGAACATAGAAAAGCAGTCCAAAATTAAGCATTTTAAGAGTGACAGAGAGCCGGGTGGTTCCTAACCAGGCCGAAGTGACAGCCAGAGCGAAAGAGTACCACCCAGATCTGGTCAATTTCTATTTTAGTAAAGATTTCTGCACAGAATACAACATAAAGGTGGCCACAAGTCCCGGGCAATTTGGCTGTCGCACAGTTGTATTTTCGCTGGGCCAAATTTACCCAGGAAAGAAGTTATTATTATTTTTTAAAAAATGCCGATTAATTTAGAAACTTTTGCTAATGCAAAAGATTTGTCTTAATCTAAATTTCCTTTAAGGATTATTTGAAAGATTAACAGATAGCAGATAGGGGAAAATCTTAGTAAGGAACAGATTAACCGGTGTAGCTTATATATGTATATTTATAAGGGATGGATCATTTCTAAATCCGTTTTTACATCGGTAAGAGGCAAACAGTTTTTACTTAGAGGAAAGAATGGTCCGACCGACCCGAATGAAAAAAAGTGCACCCTGCTGGGCCACCGCCGGCAAATTTCTACTGCAGAAAAAGGACACGACGTTTTAAAAAAAGAGAAAAAAGGTGGAAAGTTCATGCGGTTGTTTTTCCTGGCTGGCAATTAATATATATTTATATATTTATATTTATACGTAGTGTGTTAAATTTTATCTGATGGGCGTCGGACGTAGACCGCACCGGCAAAAGAAATAGCGAACGAGCTTTTTCCATACTATGACTTAGTTTTAATAATAGAGTCAATCGAAATCTTCGTCGATAAAGTCACACAGTGTCGTTTGGTGCGTGGAAGTGGAATCGGCATTGGATGAGTTGTTTCTATTGCTGGCATTTCCCTGCGTCAAGTTGTCCACGTTACTCCTATTGCTGCAATTCTGACTTTCATCATTTAGAGACTTGCGGCATATAGGACAGGTTCCATGCTGAAAAATCGGATGCAGATTAAGACCCATCTGTGAACAGAGTTTGATCAAGTACAAAAGAGTGAAACTTACCAGTTCTAACCAGGGCACTATACATTCGTTATGAAAGACGTGTTCACAGGACAATTGCTTAACCGGTTCTCCTAGTTTATAGTCTTCCATACACACCGTACACTGAAGGGTTTTATCTGCAAGAAACAATCTGCTACAGTAACCGTAGAGTTTTGACCGCTCCCACATACAAACCGTCACTTTCTATCCACATTTGGCCAAAAATAACTATCACCCCCAATTATTACTTAAGAATTTAATATGTTACAACAAATAAATTACTAAGCTATTCCTTTTTGAATCTGTCAGGTGGCACCATCCTATAAATTTATTTTTACATCGACCAGCATGCTCTTCCTTACCCATTCGTTTTCCCCAAAGTTTGTGAATTTATGGTTTATGTAAGCATTATATTTCACTCTTGCTCTCCCCAGTGACAAAACCTTGGTCAGTGTCGTCTTGTTGAGTAACAATCACCAGAAAAAACAGTGGCGTACCGTAGTGGGAGCGGCAGGGGCAGCCCATCCCGGGCAGCACTTTTTAGGGGGCGGCAGAATTTCACAATAAATAATAATAATATCTTGTAAAAATTTGAAACAGCCTAATCAATACTTGCATCGCGCCGATAGTGCTATCGTCCGGACAGTCCGGGAATCAGCTCGCCGGGTGAACTAGTAACTTTTTCATCGGAGGAAATCCTGCGAAACCTATTGACCTTTTTTTTGTTTGTACGATTCATTCGCATTCATATACACCACTAATATGCAATAAAACTATTTTAAACATGTCGCTGCACTACCACCGAATTTTTCATTGCTTGCTCTGTGAGAAAACTGAATTTTGGTCTTTTAAATTGAAATACCTAAATAAGGGGAGCCGAAATTTTCCTCCGCCCCGGGTACGCCACTGACACCCACGGTACGCCACTGAGAAAAAGTGAATCTTAGGTTGCATGCACATTGCTGCCACCAATGACAAAATCCCACATTTTTGTCGCTTGTCTTTTTGTCCGTAAAATGTTTGAGCCAGTTGTTTTGGCTCTCTTTCGTTTCACTCATCAGTCATTGAAAAATTAGCCAAAATTTCATATTTGTCATCGTAACAGCATTGGCCAATAGATGCAAACCTCCAACCGCTAATCTTGCGTCCAAGAAAAAGGAAGCTCTACGAAGTTTAAATTATTAATAGACGGTCTAAAGTATTTGCAGACATACAAAAATAATTTCAAAAATCCTTTTGTGTTTTTAAATGTAATTTCTGAACCAAAGCACGAAAATTGCCTGGCGTTTTTCTCTCAATACAAATGGCTCCAATCCAAAGTCGACATTTTACATTTTCCTTAATGCTGGATCTCCACTTAGCACGATGATGTTGCCATCACCCAATACTTCAAAGAATGACAAAATTGCTGCCCTACCTGCCTGTACACTTTATGCAAAATGGAAGGCAATTTCCAATGAATTATGGGAAGAGTTTAAAATGGCAGCAAAACTTTGGACCTAAAATGAAGTTTTATATTTTTCAATTTAATTTTGTATTTAATTTTTAAAAATTTAATATTTGCTACCTTTTCCCCTTTTCAAAATTTTCACACCATGCTGTACATACTGCTAAGGATGATGTGTAAAAGTATGATGTCATGTGTGCTTGGAATTACAGATGCTGTCTGTCAATTGACTGTGACAGAATCACCAGGCAAAAATATACATTGTCCCAGTAGTACTCTGGCTAAACTACTCAAAAGGAAAGGCAATTTCACTGTGCATGAGCAATAACAAAGGCAATTAAAGCACCTCAAAATCATGCAAAGTGGACAGCCAGCATAAGACAAAAATGAATGAATAATGCAAACACTTTGACAACGAGACATGCTGTCATTATCGGTAGTGTGAATACACCCTTAGGGACAAAAATGTTTAATTGTACAAAACCTATTTATTTCTGGAACGGATTTCTGCCCTTGCCGACACTTCATCTTTTTTATAAAATTAATTAATTAATATTAAGTTTTGATATCAAGAACTAATGGCGTCGACCATCAAATAGCAAAAAAATGAATTTCATTCAAAAAGTCCCTTAATTTTCTAATGCTAGTCATGTTAGAGTATTAGAGATATTTTTTACATCATTATTTGCATTTTCCAAATAATAGATCTACGATATATTAAATTAAAACAGAAATTATTGCAATGTGGCCACAATGCAAATTTCCATTATTATTATTTTTAATTTATTGAATTTAAAATATATGCTCTTGATTTTAGTAGTGTCTTCCCCCGTATGTCATACTTTACCCCATAACAACAGTCCATCCAGTTGAGCCGTACCAGTCGTCTAAGTTTGTTTCGCATAAAATTATTGAATTAAAATCATGTAACTTTCCACCCAGACCAGATTTCATAAATCGAGGCCTTCGCCCTTAAGCTTCCACATGCAATTTGGATTTTTGTCTATCTAACTCTGTTCTAGAGATTAATGAAGGACGGATGGACAGATGATGATGGGAATGTGTAAGTCCCAAATCTGAAAAACTTCTGCAGTTACCTGGTCTGTAGAACCAGGTAAGCTGTATGGCAATTGACCTAAGCAATAAAACTTAATTGACACAGCAAAGTGTAGGATTTCATAATAGATACTTTGTGTAAAATTACAAAGCAATTGGTGATTATTTCAGTTCATTTTCTTTACAACAGTAGCTTAAAAAAAACTAAAAACCAAGACTGTTACTTAATATAACAGAATGGCAAAAGAGACAATGAGAAATGGCAAAGGTATTAATGTAATTCACTAATAAAATATACAAATTATACGCAAATAAAGAAATAATTTGTCAACAGCTAACAACTGCAAATGACTTCTCACAAAGGCCGCATTTCTTTATGCAGCGCTCGAGAAGTGCTTTACAGCGAACCTCTGAAACCAGTTTTTAAATGGCCAACACTGCTCGTGACGTCATTTCGCTACACTCTCGCTGCATAAAGAAATGACCCAATTGAGAGTCAAAGAGTGAGGCTAGATACATTGCCCCGGTGTGCGATCGACACCAGTAAACCCTTTAACAGAGTGGGTGGTATTAAGTTAAAAAGTATTTTTACACTTACCGACGTCCTCTTTTCTAATGTACATAATTGGTATTTCGTCGATTTTCTCTCTCGCTAATGGAGGTGCACCCATTCCGTCAAACTGATTTAATAACTGTATAAAATAGGTTTCGTTTAGAATAATATATTCCAATTTAAGGTAATGATAAAATAATCTATACATATAAAAATAAATTCTCGTTACTTTGTCCTTTATATCAATTATTATTCTTAAACTGATCTGGACCAAAGTTTGTATGGTTATTACAGTAGAGCGTCAATTTTCCAAATCAATTGGGGACTGGGGTTGTCCGGATAACTGATATTTCAGATAACTGGTTTACATACGAAAAAATAGTTTAACGTATCTGATGTCAAATTTTTTATCCTTTGCGTGTCGCTTTGCGTTGAATTTTCGTCGATGTTAACAAAGACTATTGTATCGTTAAAAATTATTTTTTTATTTTGTACAAACAAAATAAATATATTGAAAAATATAAAAATAAAAAATTACACTTCAGATGTTAATTTAGTATCAAAAACGTAAAATATTTGAGTAGCCCAAGACATAGCCAAAGATTGAAGTGCCACAGCACTGGCAAAAATTTAAATTTGCCGACTGGAATTCTTTCGGATGATTGACTTTCGGAAAATCGGCGCTCTACTGTACTTTCATCATAGAATCAACAGTAAGCTATATACAACCCCAACATTTTGTTGCCCCCCATCTGACTTCCCACCTTGCCACAGTTGACAAATATATATATATATAAATGATTGTTGTTGGTTTGTTGAATAATATATATATATATAGATTTGAAGTAATCTATAAATAACCTAATTTTAACTAATTTTGAAAAAAAAAAAATATAATAAAAAGCTTTGATTGCCCAAAAGAATGCAGAAGCGAAAAGAAAAAAGAAAGAACTTATTATGTAGTAGTGAAAGTATTGAAGGTTGTAAAGACCATCTTGAACAAAGCTGCTTCAGAATGTCTCAACTGTGAGCAAATCAGACATTCTCAAGTGAGTAATATAGCCAGTGAAGTTTTTGAACTCCTTGGAAACAGCTGGACTACCACCTCAACCTAGAGCTAAATGATGGAGCACCAGTAATGTTTTGTGAAATTTGAATCTATCAAAGTCATGCAATGGGACAAGAATGATAGGAAAAAATTGATGTCAAATGTCAGAGGCAAGCTATATTTCCCACACTACAAAAGAAAACCTTCCAAGAAATATAGAATTTCTTACTAAAGAAACATTTAAGTGGTTTCTTCATTCTGTGATTAGACAATCCAAATAGAAGGAACTCTATTCTTTGATGAATGATGAAAATGAATCACTAAAGTTAATACAATGTAGGAAAACTCATTGGATGTAAATTCAGATTGCTACTGACAGAATTTTGAAACAATAGAATGATTTAAAAGCAAATTGTATTTGGCCAGAACAAACGAAAGATGTTACATGGCAGAAATTTGAAATTTTGTTCTCAACAAAATAAAAGAAATATTCTATTTTTTTTAATTCTTAACGTATTCAATGTTGAAATTTTTATTTGTTGCCTGTGACACCATGTTGAATTTTCGTCGATGTTAAGTCTAAAAAAAAATTTTTTTTTTAAATAATAATCATGTTTACTGTATTGTTAAAAATAGCTTGTTTCTATCCTTTTCTTCCATTAGTGTTAAGTTAGTGTAAAAGATTAGTTTTAAGCTTGGGTTGCATATTATCAAGATCAAGATCGGTACCGCACATTTGGATCTAACAAACTATTGTCTTAGCAGTAAATTCGCATATGATTGTAATGTATTGTGACGTTGGAATTCCCAATCAAGTATCTGTATATGTATGCGACATTGTTTAATTGTAAAAACATATCATTTATCATTTTTACTGTATCCTGTCTGCCTTTGTGGTGATTTTAATTTCGCACGTACTTTCACAGCACAAACAAAATAAATATATTAAATAATATATAAACAAAAAAATTATATTTTAAAAGTTCTTTTTAATATAAAAATTGTGACACATAGCGACATCTAGTATCAAAAATGTTCCAATGTAAACACGAAAATATTCGGGATCGCCCACGCAGGTCAATGAGGTCAACATGAATATTTTCGGGNATTTTTTTACACGAGAACGGATTAATCATTTTTACATTACTTCTTATGGGAAAGGTTGGTTTGGTATACGTCCAATTCAGTATAAGTCCAAACATCGGGAACGGATTAAAGTCGTATACCGAGGTTCCACTGTATATGTAAATTAATAATATATCTACAAATAACAATTTCTAAGGGCAAATTAGAATATAGTCAATATTTATTATTGAAAATAACTTTCCCTAAAATAATAATCTAAATCAGTTATAAGCAACCTGCGACCAGTGAAAAGATGAGAATAAACTATATATTACTAGTTTGCATTTTATTGACATCTATTATTTTAGTACTTAGTGTACTTGAAGTTTTGGTGTATGTTGGTGATTGGCAAGCTTAAAGCCTGCAATATCCGAATAAAAAAAAAATGCACGCAGTCGGTAGGAAGCCTACCAAGTTCCCTGGAGGCTGGCATACAGAAAAGGCTGCTTGTCACTGATCTAAATTATGTCTTCTTAATATAGCTCATCAGTGTGAACACTGTTGACTGCTGTTCAATTAATGATTAGTGTCACAGAGAACTAAATTTCCTTCAGTGGAATTACTTTGATACAGTCTTAAGACATTTTTCTCAATTGTAAAACTTCTTTCGACATCAGTGCTATAACCCCTCAATGATTTATCTATAACAAAAATATAATATTGCAAACAGCTATAAACAACAAAATTACAACGAAATATGCTAGGAAAAAAATGTATTTTTAAAATAAATTGAGCACAAACATTAAATTATTTATATAAAAATGCAGCTTTCTGTGCAAGAAATAAAATTTTAACAAAGTTTTGTCTTCAATTTGAAGACAAAATTTTATGATCAAGCACTAGCAGAAGAACCAGTTGAAATTCGCATTTTAAAGTAACTAGGTTAATACAGATGCAAGTACTGTATTTCTTATATTTCTTATCATTTGTTATTTTATGTTTCAAATCACAGGCCATACAGAGGAACTGTGTAATCATACAAAAAATGAATTACAGTAGATTCCCCTATAACACGGGTTCATATAATACGGATTTGTATGACACGGCAAAAAACTCGTGTTTGTATAAACACGCTAAAAGAAACTCATATGATACGGTAAAACGTCATCGCCGACTCCTGTCGCAATAGGACTGGTCGAATCTAGACAAATAGGAGATATTGCACAAACCATTGAGTTTAAACGAGTTGTGGACCTACTAAAAACCATTTATTATTTAACAGCCATAAAAATTATATTTATATTAATGATGTCTCCAAAGTTAAGTTATTTTTCTGCGAAAAACTCACTGATCAAAAAACACGCCTGCCATTCAATGAGCCGCTCTGCAACAAAAACAAGCTTAAGCAATGGCGTTGTTGAACGATGCACACACTGTAAGTAATCCTACACTTTTTTGTTTATAGCATAGTTTATATAGATTATTCCCAAAAAAATTATACGTGTTTTGGAAATGTTGAGTCAAATTAGTCTAGAATCAATTAATTTTATGGAAGAAAACCTTTCACACAGCCGTAGTACCTAAACTGCACATGTGACGGGCTGTGATTGGCTCATGTATTTAAGTGATCGTACAACACGGAATTCATATAAAATGGAATGTATCTACTGTGTTACAGGGGAATCTACTGTATTACAATGTTACAAGAGGAAAAATTGCAGTAAGAAGTTGCTAAATTGTTTAGTTATGTTCAGAGCATAATATCTTATCTTTGGAAAATATAAAATATTTAAAAAATTTTAAATAAACATTTTTTATTAACATAAATGCATTAAAACGTAAAAAATAAATTTTATTCAGCTTTCAGTGTTTTTGGTATCGTGTGACTAAAATTAAAAGTGTGAGGTACCAGTGGTAGGCCCATAAAAACTGATAGATAGTGTAACTAAAAACAGTTCTAGTTCCCATGCTTTTATTTTTGATCACACCATACCAAGAATACAGTGAAAGCCAAATAAAAAAATGTTTAGTGCATTATATAAATAATAAGCATTTCTTTAAAACTTCTTTTATAGTTTTTATTTCCTACCATTTTAGTTTTATATACAGCGGTGCCTCGTATAATGTACGCTGTGAAAAACAGACTTTCTGTTTGGCCATTACGTGACTTGAGCAACAAACTGGCTGCAAACAACGGACTTTCCGTTCGTCAGTTACGTGAGGTGAACAAGTACGAATGATGTTTCCATTCTTTTGCCGTTGCCAATGACAATCTGCTATTTTTATAATATATTAGTATTATTAGAATATATTATTAGTATATATGATGTACAGAGCTCCCATTGAGATTTGACTTGCTCCCTTGTTTATTATGTACATCACCTCAGTGCAGGGTATTTACATTTATTCAAGTGTTGTGCAAATCATGGCTTCTAAAAAAAACAGAAAAGTGATTTCAATTGAAGCAAAGCAAGACATCATCAGAAGGAGTTAAAGTTGACAAAAACTTCCTTGTCAAATGGGGAGAGGTTAAGGAGTTCACCAACACTCATTATCCAAACAGAGCTGAGGCCAACAGGCTCAATGATCTCTACAATGACACCCTTGCCCGTCATTTCTGACAGGTGTTGAAGAAGAGAGAGAAACAGACCACCTCGGACATGTTTTTCAAGAAGCAAGCTGCCAAAAAACAAAGGATGGAACAAGAGAAGTTGACCTTGTAAACTCGGGTATCCTCTTCTGCATCTGACTCCAATTAAAAAACAACAAAAAGAGACCCGCTGCAGTGTGTAAAAAGTCTGTATCTGTATGAATGTGTAAAGAAAGTATTCCTCCACCTCCTTCTCACAACATCTGACTACCCGGCATAATTGGTGACTTCTCCATTTAAATTTTTTTACAGTACAAGTACAGTTATTTTAAGCTGCAGAACAAATTATATGTTTTAACATGTATTTCTATGGGAAAATGCGTTTCGTGTAACAGACTTTTCACTTAACAGACATGCACCTAAAACAGATTAAGTA